TCATGAGGGGGAGACAAGGTGAAATCCCATGTTCCATGAACTATACTAAACCGGGAACCATGGTTTATGACCATAGGCGGTTGGACAAATTTATAGGACATAAGGGTCCACGTCCAAAATGCTTAGGAACAATCATGGCATACAAATGAAACTCCAAGTAATGTCCATGCCAAACCAACCATACTGGTCGGACCAAATAATGCTGGACAGGCCGAAGGAGGCTGGACGGGCCAGCAGGCCATTCGTGTCAGGGAAGCCGGGCGGGCCACGTTGGCCGCTTGTGAGCACAGAACCGAATGCGGGCCAAGTTTGTATGCATTTTATACATGTATAAGAGTTTATGCATCAGGCCATATGAGTGAGCATAGATATTCCCATCTCAGATTGATAAGGGTCATGGATCAGACATCAACAATCTTAAGAGATTTAAACCACCACAAGAAATGTGCCATATAAGATGGAACCTCAAATGAGGATTGAGGATTGGGAATGGGAATATATGTTGGATATTAATAAAGTCTTTCTCTTAAATAAACCTTGAGCCAAATATGGGTGATTGGAATGTGGCCAAGTACATGGATTACATAAGGAAGTAAATCCAACTATCCAACATGGAAATGAGAAAGATATAAGCTGGATAAAACAATGGTATTAACCATCAGTGTCTTGGCAAGATCCTCGGACTAGAATATAAGATTCTGGACGTCCATATGGTATCAAGGAATGATACAATGCTAGCAAAACTATATGCAAGACACATAGACCCAGGAATGAATGACTATGTCATACCAGCTTATGCACCACGAGTTTAATGTCCTAGGAGAGACATAATCAAGCTGCTATAAAGTCTATAAAGGTAGACTAATAAGTTCCAAAAGAAAGAAACCTCGGAAAGGATATGAAAGGTGCATAGAATCATATAATCCGAGTTCAAAGGAAACTAACCAGACATAGAGGAAAACCTGGCCAGGTGAACATCTAAGGTACCAGACCATGTAAGCTTGGGACGCCAAGATTACAAGGCAGGAAAGGTCCTGGATAAATAAGATCTAAAATGGATTAGATCATGTCTGAGTAAAATGGAACTATATGAGAGTGTTAACACCAGTGGTATAAGTGAGCTCATACAAGCAAATAGCACTTGATATTTATGGAAATGGAATGAGGATCATGAACCCATGAAAGAGTACTCATAGATCATAGAATCATGGGGTTCAGAGTATATAAAAGCATGATGTGTGTATTGGCCATATTGGAACACCATCAACCAGTAAGGTCTTGTGGGTATATGAATCCCTGAGGAAAAGGTTAAAATGAACTCAGGGTA